GAGACAAGCTTCTCTGTGCTGCCATGGCATTCTGCAGGCACATCCCACAGTCTGTAACTCAGTGCTAGCTTACCTCTCTCCACTGGTGCAGGGAGGGGAGCAGCCCCCTGTCACTGTCCCTCCTACCCAGAGAAAGGCTGCTGTCCCCAAACACCCACTGTGGGAGCACAGCACTGCACACCACCAACCTGTCCTGTGTGCGCTGTGCTCTGAGGGTCAAAGTGCTGCAGGAAAGATCCCAAAAGGGAATGTCAGGACAGGTAAATCCCGAGAAATTGCTCAATCGCTGAGTTTTCGTTTCATTCTCATCAAATCTGGACGCTGCTGTCTCTGCTGGAGTGGGACTGGGGCTCCCCCATCTCCAGGACATTGGACCTTGGGTTTGTCTCTGCAGGGATCCTGTTGCTTTCCACCGTGGGAAACTGCGAGGAAATCTTTTAAAAATAGATGATCTGGAAGTATGTCAACCGAGACAACAGTGTATCTGAAAACAGTTTATTGATAAAGAAAAAAGCAAACACAACAAGATACAAAAAAGTGCTAGAAAAGTTGGAGAAGCAGAAAGGAAAATGGAAAAGGAGTGGGGGGAGACTGAGAGAGAGGAAGCCAGAGGCAAAAAGCGGGAGTGAGCAGCAGCAGATCGGGCAGTGCCCTCGGCGCTCACAGGACGCGGGATGCGCTGCGGTCCCGGCCGGACACGCGGGGAGTGAGCGGGAAGTTGACCCCAGCCCTTTTTTTAGGTGGATTTTTTAAAACTAAGGGAAAAATCACTCATTTATTCTGACCACTGGCACCATCTTCTTCCAGCAGCAGAGTTATAAGAACTTGTCTTTTTATCTTCAGTTTTACCACCACAATCCCGAGGAGCATTCCAGAAGTTTTCTGTTGTGTTGTGCTTTCAGAGGGAACAATTTTGGACATGCCAGGAAGAGCAAGTGGCAGAAGAGCTGTTGCAAGGTGCTGGGAATGTGCTTTGGGGAGGCAGGTAATTGATGGTACATGGCAAACCAGTAATATAAATATTAAGTCCCTAAGATTAATGGTTTTATATTCCAAACATCTCACTGAGGAGGTCCTTGGTGCTCAGGCACTGACACCAGTGCTGGCTCTGCTCCAGGGAGTGTTACACAGATGCAGAAGGCTTTTTAAAGTCATAAAGGCTCAAAAGAACTTGGGCAGCTTGGATTCCTCTAGCCACAGAACTGAAATGTCCATTGGACATCACATTGCCTAAGCTGATGGATTTTCAGCAGATATTCAGCTTTTATTAAAGAAACAAGACCTGGGATACCTGACTTTCACCTCTCAGGTGGGAAATGGGAATTTATGACAATGAAACAGTGAAGTTAGACAGAGCTTTACACCCCACATCTCAAAACGAATCCCAAAAACATGGTTTAATCTTGGAAGATCCAAGTGGATGTGGGCAGCACAAGCCACACACTCCAGCTTGGGAGTCTTGATTCTTAGTCAGCCTTTGGATATGTCAACAGAGGGGCTTGGGCCTATGTGTGCTGGGCTTTTTATCCTCTCTTTTGCATATTTATGGGACAAACAGCCAGAGCAATTTGCATTGGTCTTTTTCACCTGCTGGGAGCCAGGCTGCAGATTTGGAGAGAAGGGTGAGAGTGATGGCACCTGAACTTTGTCCCCAGCTAAGGTGCCAACTCATCCCCCAGCCCCAGTGCACACCTCCTGTCACTCCTGAGAGTCGATGTCCCCATGTCTGTCCCTTCCAATCTGTACCTGGGTCGTACCCTCTGTAAATTGGCCAGACTTTCCTACCTCGTTTGGGCATTATGAGGCAGAGTTCCACAGGATGCTTTGCAGCCCTGTGATGAAAGGTGCTATAAAACTGCAAAGTTTTACTTCAGAAGATGTAACTAGATCACCAGTGCATCATCACCTATATTATACAGACATTTTCTAATATGAGAATTTATAGAGTTCAATGTATAGTATTCATAAGTGAATTACTGAGACCCTCAAAAGAGTTTTTGTTTCAATCGTATCTGTATTCTGGGAAAGTGATTAAAAACCTTTAAACTTAATGAAAGAGTGTATTCATCCTCTTTTCCTGTAGGATGTTGGAATCTAAAAGCAGTTTACAAAGCAGTACACAGTTTGAAAGCAGAATCTCACAGATTTCCTAGGGGGAGGGCTCAGCAGTTTCTAAGCCACAGTTAAAATTGCAGCAGATCACCTGCACAGCAGCACCTGGTGGTTCCCACCTGGTGTTCCCACTCACACTCGGTTTTGCTCCTCTGGCATGGGCTGTAGATACTGCCCTGCCCCAAAGTGGTGCAGGGGAACTGGGGGCACCCTCAGCGAGCAGGGCAGGCCTGGGCACTGAACATGCCCTGTGCTCTGTCACCCTCCAATGCCACCATCACCCAAGAGCTGCAGCCACACAGAAACACCAAGTCTGCTGCAAGCAAAGCACATTTATTGGCTTCAGGGAAATTGCTGCTCACAAGAATCCAAAGCTTTTAAAAGCAGAGGCAAAGCCCTGAGGGGTCTGTGGGGGTTTTCCAGCACCTGCAACTGTGCATGGCAAGGCCTTGGGATCAGGAACCTGCTTGGCTTCTCTTGGGTTGCTTGTCTGGAATTGTCTCATCCTCACGTTTGTCACCTGAGTTATTTTTTCTTGGGTTTGTCACTTGAGTTTTTATCATTTTTTAGGTTTGTCACTTGGAGGTTTCTTCCCTTTGGACAGCCAGGCACCACTTGCTGCACCAGCTGAGCCCAGGGCAGAAGTCAGGCCAGCTTTGGCACCAACAGAAAGACCTGCAGCTCCTGCAAAGACAAATCGAGATGTGAACTCCCAGGAGCATCAAGGCTCCCTGCTGGGACACAGCCAGCCAAGGACTCCTCCCGGGCAGGGAGAGCCCAGAGAGTTTGCAGCAATTCAGAGCAGGGAGGAGTTGAAGGGCTGCTTTGGCTCTGGAGCCAGCCCGTGCCCCCTGCCATGGAGATGAAGCCCAGCTCCCCTGCCCTCCCCACTCACCGATGGACTGCAGCACGGCCACGGCGCTGCCGGCAGCCACTCCGCCGCCGTTGGCGATGGCAGCTGCCGACATCATCTTGGCAGCGACGGAGCCAGCGGCGATGCCGGCCCCGGTGAACCCCAGCGCGCCGAGGCACACTGGGAGGGCAACCAGTGCCAGTCCTGCAGGGTGGGCAGAGCAGTTTTAGGGTCCCATCTGTGACCCACATGTCCCCCTGCCACCAGCACCAGAACCGGCCTCCCCAAAAGCACCCAGGGACCAGAGCGGGGAGCGAGGGCTGGGGGTGCAGGGACAGGGACACCCATGGGCGGCAGGAGAGGAACAGTGTGCAGGGCTGCAGCAGTGGGGACAGGCAGAATTCCAGGCAGCAGCCAGAGCTGCCCTTCCTCCCGCCTGCACCCCAATTCTCCCCAGCCCTGGTACTTGCAGCCCCCAGCCCAGCCCAGTCCCCAGGACCACGCGGGGCTGGGACCGGGCAGTGAGCCCGAGCGCTGCTCATGCAGTGCCAGACCCTCACCTGCTCCCACTGTGGCTCCAATGACACCTCCAATGACACTCCTGTTCTTCCCTGAGAAAGAAAATGACAGGAGGGCAGGAAGGACATGAGCATGGACAGCA